GGGGGGAGAAAAAGAGGATCCCTAACATCTTGACACCTGACTCAATCTGAAAACGCTGGGAACTCCATGGCAGCCCTCATGGAAACGTACAAGATTAAAATCCGATTTGATTTGATACAAATGCATGCCACAGCTTTGATAAAATGTGTTGTAAATGCTTGTCCTTATAAAAGATCTATTTTCTTTTCAGTGAACAGATTTTAGGCTGATAAGTGGATTCAACAAGTAACAGAAGAAAAATAAACTGAGGGCTGTTAAAGACATCTCTAGTTCGGGAGTCAGGGCTGTGCTGCTGACTCTGTGTGCCCTGGCAGAAACCCCCAGTGCCTTTCTGCTTAGTTTCAGTCTCTATAATCACCTGATAAGCTGTACCAATTGCTGGCAATAAGGAGGTTTTTGTGTTTGAGGTTTTTTGTTTCAAAGGGGCCTTATTTTTCTGAGGAACAAATACATAGGAGGAAGGCCAATCTGCTGCATGGTAGCAGCTTGACAATAGATGTTCACCTGTCTTACAGGCAATGGGTTCTTTCTAATAAATTGGACTGCTTTTTGAATGCATTTGCCAAAGAGCTCTTGCTAATCAGTTCAAAACATTGCACGATTTCCTAATCCATTTTTCTTGTCCCTTGCAGTTATTTCCAAGCCCAGCTGAGCCGAGCCTGTCCCCGGCAGCGGGTGTAATTTTGTGATCACAGGGAAGAAGCACATCCTGCTCACTTGCTGTGCGGTGCCACCCCGCCCGTCCCTCCGCCCCGGGCCCTGCGGAGGTGTGGGGCGCGACCCTCTTTTTGGCAGATCCGTGAGTCTAAACCGCTTTTAGTGCCTTTTATCTTAATAGTTTAAACGTGTTTTTAAACCCTTGGGTGGGTGCTTTGCTTTGGTGCAAAGGGCAGGTGGCACCCGGCAGACCCCTCTTCACCGAGGGGAGGCCCCCGCTGTCACCCGGGAAGGGACACGGCGATTTTTGGGCGATGCCCCCGGCTCAGAGCAGCCCTTTCCCTGGCGCTCATTACCATAGCGCCCTCCCGGCACCCTCCGCGTGTCCCGGCCGCCCCGCCGCCCCCCGGTGCATCCCCCCAGCGCCCCCCGGTCCATCCCCGCCGCCCCGGCGGAGCGCGGGCTGCGGGCGGGGGGTGCGGGCCGGCGGGGCGCGGGGGGCACCGGGGGCCGCTCTGACCTCCCCGGAGGAGCGGTGGCCGTGGGGCCGGGAGGGTGGAACAAGTAGGTAGCTTTGCGCAGTGGCAGTATCGTAGCCCGTGAGGTTAATCCGAGGCGCGATTATTGCTAGTTGAAAACTTTTCCCAATACCCCGCCATGACGACTTGAAATATAGTCGGCATTGGCAATTTTTGAGAGCCTCTTCGGAGGCTGATTTTCGTGTGTAAAAGATACGTTAAAAAAAAAAAAAAAAGGGGTGGATCTTGCCAGGCTGTCATTATTATAAGTGATGCGGTCCTCGAAAGAGCAACCTGTCTTGACGACCTCGATCCCCTCCACTTTCGTTTTCAGTGACCCATTCCTTCTCCAGCAGCATTGAAAGAAAAAGGCAAGAACCGAACTCTACTTAAAAGTGTCCTCAGTTTATTAAACCACGTTTTTGGCGGGAGCAGGTGGTGGGGAAGGGGCTGGGATGGGGCTCCCCGCCGGCTGTGGCCCCTCGGGGCTGGCTGGGGATGCCCGGCCCCGGGGGTGCCCAGGCGGGGGTCCCGCGGGGGGCGATGCGGACCCTTCATTCGGCACCGAGCTGCCGCTCTGACGTCGCTCCTACTTTGCATACTCCTCTCCCACCAGCCTTCGCGGCCGTCCCGGGGCTCGGCACCGACGGGGAAAAAACGGGTCGCTCCGGTCCCGGCGGGGCGCGGGGGGCGCGGGGCGGGCGGGGGGCACTGCCCGGGGGGATGCGGGGCGGAGCGGGCGGGCGGCGGGGCTCGCCCCGAGCTCGGCGGCGGCCCCGGGGCCAGGGGCGGCGGCGGTGGGAACAGCGGGTCAGCTTTGCGCAGTGGCAGTATCGTAGCCAATGAGGTTAATCCGAGGCGCGATTATTGCTAATTGAAAACTTTTCCCAATACCCCGCCATGACGACTTGAAATATAGTCGGCATTGGCAATTTTTGACAGTCTCTACGGAGACTGAATTATGGTGTGAAAAAAATAGATGAAAATTATAATGAAAAGCCACACAATACGTGAAGAGGTGATTTATGCTACTTGCATTTAAGGAGGCTACAGACAATCATTATAAGCGATAAATTTGCCTTTGTTCACTCTCAGCGATTCCGGCGGTTGCTCGTGCCAAAAACGTGGGTTAATAAGTTGAGGGCGCTTTTACATAAAAAGCTGTGTTCTTGCCTCTTTCTTTCAAAGCTGCTGAAGGAAGAATCGGTCAGGGAAAATGGAAGTGGAGGGACTGAGGTACTGGAGATGCATTTCTAGTGTAGCTCTTGTTGAGGATCCTTTGGGGAGCTCGACCTCTCAGAAGACAGCTTAGGCAGGGAGGAGAGGGAGCATTTCTGGAGCAACTGGAGGGGCGTGAAAGTCTGAATTGTGCTTGACTGGCTCCAGAAGTGCTTCAAAACCTATTAGGGAACAGCTTTCACTGTAACCTCCATTTTGTGTGCATTTCTTTATGTATATCCATTGGCCTTTAAAGAAAAAGAAAAAAGAAAAAGGCTCCTTATTGTCAAAGAAATCACAAACCTTTACTCTGGAAAAAGCAGCTGCTGAGTTTAGTGTAAAATCCTATTATATAAGTAAACCGAATCCATTTCTAATTTGCAGCTGTTGTCTTATTTAATACCGAAGCAGACCCTGTGGAGGGAGATTTAACAACCATTGCACACCAGCTCCCTGGGCTGAGTCTCCACTGGAGCTGGAAGCAGCTGCTGTCCTTCACTCTGTATGAATCAGATGTAGCTTGTGCTGCTGACAGGTTGCCTCTGACGTTCTCTGCACGGTCGCGTGTGCCATCTGGATGCTCCTGCCCTGCCGGTAAGACCCTGAGCTGGGCAGCTGCTTTAAACTATAGCCAGGCAGAGTAGAAAACTTAGTAGTGAACATTAGTGTTCCCTCTTCAGTAGTTTTTTTTGTAACATTCAGTTATGCTGGGGTATTATACAGAAGAGTGACCAAAGACTGATGATGAAACCTCACAAATTGCATTTGCCCCCTCCTCCCCTGTTTGTACTCCACTGCCAGCAACATCAATTTGAAATCAAAACCTGAAGCATAGGGATGCCATTACCCTTTGGCAGAATAAGCCATGCTGGCAAATATCAAAGGCATATGTAGTTTGCAGTGAGTCATACACTTTGTGTAATTTCTTGATTCATATAAACTGTGTTGATAAGTACTGGTTTTATCACTTTACTGTTTCTCATCTCTTCTGCTGGAATTGTCTGTGATAATGCTCTGGTGTGGTGATTTCACTCCACATTGCAAAGTTGTGTCCTACATCTTAAACATTTGTTTTGCTGCAATAGATCCTTTCAACAGCTGTGAAGTTGGACCTTGAATGGGGAAGTTGCATGTTGTGATTTACTGCCATTGCCTGAGACCTAAAGGTCTGACTGAATTTTTCTTTCTTGCATTCACCTGAAGAAAGAGCTGCACAGCACACGTGGCACAGCACAGAGGACACACTGCATTGTCATCACTCTGCATTTTCAAGTCCCTCTCTGGAATGTGCACAGGTAAGTGTGCCTTACAAGTGAGTGGAGCTTCATATCGCTTCTCTGACATACACTGTCTTCTGTAAATAATGGTGCTTCTCATCAGTGGTACTATGAAATGAACTTGGATCGCTCCTTGGATCGCTTGGTTTGGCAGCCAGTCTGAGATTGCAGCCCTGAAGGGGACAGGTGGACAGTTCATCCATCCAGCCTGAGTGTCAAGTGTGTGTGGGTTAAACCACCCTTCTAGGGAGCTGGTCTGTAACTGGTAAACGATGCTTTGACAAGAGGGAAAGTTGCCTTGAGCAAGTACTCTGAACACAGGTTGTGTGGAGCCAGGAGTACCCTGAACACGGGTTGTGTGGATACAGGAAGCCCTGAAGTCCAGCATTTTGTTGATGTTAACTCACTTTCTGACTTCATTTCCAGCTCCCAGCCCTGTTTCCCATCTGTAAATGAGGGTCATAACTTCTTGTAACACCTTCTGTGAAAGATAAGGGTAAATCACAATGTGTCTTACCACAGGGGACAGTGTAAGAGGAAACCCCGTGTATTTCTCTGATGCACTGCCTGCCTTCATTCCCTAGTACTTCCCATCCAACACCAGTTTGGAGGGATGTAGCTGCTCTCAGCATCACTTACCCCTCTGGGCACACCTTGGGTATGCTGCTCCAGTGGGAAAGAGTTTGCTGGAGGTGGAAATCACCTGGGAACTGCAGCTGCTTCTGCCCCGCTGTGTAAGGATGGTGCTTGAGCAGGTGTTCACAAAGCCAGTGAGAGTTTGAGGCAGAGAGCAGGTAGGTGATGAGAGAACAGTAGTTCCAGGATGTTAGGAAAGTTAGGAGAGGGTGAACGTTGCTTGAGTGAGTTTAGCTTGAGCCTGCAACTGAGCAGTTGTCTTGGCAGCTTGGGTTTTAACCTGGCCTCCTCCTCAGGCAATCACAGGAGGGTTAGGGACTGGCAATTTTAGAAAGAAATGTTAGTGTGTGAAGAATTCAGTTATGAACAGCACATGGCTATGGGCACTGCATGAGAACAAGGCTGTTTTTAAAAGCAGTGTTACTAGAGGATAGTATCACTCACATGGCAGCCCTGCCTTCCCACCTCCCCCAACCCTTTCAAAGCAGTGCTGAAGCCACAGGCAAAGCTTTAAATGCAACG